CTACTCTGCCTAACTGGAAGACAGACATTCTTGTAAAACTGTGTGTGGGAGCATTTCACAGTGAAACCAAAACACTGTTTAAAGTAAATTCAGGGAACTACTTCTCATGCAGTGCTGTTATATGAAAAGATGAGGGTATTTTATTTATTTTTTTACACACACAAACTGCCAGACATCAACACCACTGCAGTGCCAGGTTGCCACCAGAGAGCTAGCATGCTCTTTGTCCTTAATCATACCTATTATTAAGGCTGTGGACCAAGTCATACCTTCACATGCCAGTCCCAATCTATCCCTTATCAACCCAAAGAGCTGAGGGCAACATGTACCTTGTTGCTTCAGCCTCTATGTAACTCTTGTAACCCAATTTAAGTCTTGTTTGGAGATGACACAATCAGCTAGCATAAGTCTGTGTGGCACCCTTGACTTTCTAATCATACCAGATTTATGCTGATAAAAAAATTAACAGAGGCAGCCATACCGTCAACAAACTTCTGTGCCAAGTCTGTTTAACGAGAAAAATTCATTGCACCTACCTGCTTCATTCAGCATCAGTCCAAAGACATACTGGATGCAAAAAAGGTCTTACTACAACTGTGAGGCACTACATTTTTAAAAGAGCCATATGGTAGGTACCAAGAGTAACATGCGATTGTTTTGTTTTGCTTTTAACCTCAATATGACAAAATAATGAAGATTAACTCTCTGCCTTAGCCCAAGTTGACAAAATTGAAACACTTGATGTTTAATATAATTGATTTTCCACCCACCAAGAACAATAGTTAAACACTAACAATCAATGCCGATCTCTAAACTCCTACTTTTTTTTTTATCACAATTGGCTGTTGTGTAACGAGTTATATAGAGAAGTGTCAAAGTGACGGGAAAAAAGTAGCAAAGGAAATAATGTGGTCAAGACCATCATGCTCTTCATAATAACCCCTCAAGGCATCAAAATATTAATGACAGAATAATTCTCCTTGGCAGTAAAAGTACATTGGCTGTTCAGGACACTGGTATCTTAGAGTCGGCCTGTATTCCCACTTCATACCAATGGGAAACAAAAATTTACAGCATTGTAATCCTGTGAATGCCAATACAGTAGAACTGAAGCTTCATACTCAGCCTGAGCAAGTGTAGCTACTGCTTACCTATAATTTCTACTCTTCCATTAAGCCTCTTCCTCCCTCAAACATTTGCAGCTACTCCCTCTCAGATTTGTGTCCTTGAAGGCATACAGATTAGTATTTGCAGAAAATATTTAAAGAAAAGTTTTTCAAACTCTTGTACCATTGCCACACTATTGTTCTTAGGGCAATCTAAGAGAACGACAACCATGTGTATTACATACACACTCAGGTACTGTTTATAAGGGAAGCTCACTCAGTGGGAGCCAGTTTCACAATTTATATTCAAGATGCTGTTACGAATGTAAAAATATGAAATAAACTACAAGTATTAGCTGTTAACATTACAGTAAACCTTTAAAAATATCAGGTCACACACAGAGTTACAAGCTTTATGTACAAAGTGCTATATACTCTACCCAAGCGCATACCACTGTTTCATCTAGCCAAGCCAAGAAAAGCTTCATCTTCAACTATTTCACAACTTTGCAGCCTTATTTTTATATGGAGATATTTACCCCTTACACAAAGGAAGCTAACACTCACATCACCCACTAGACACACAGGTCAAGAAGTATTCCTGAAGCCAGCATAACCAAGTGGACAAAGTCAGGCTTTTCCTTTATTATCAGCATTGGATAAAGATGCTTTTAATTTCTATCAAACATTTGAGACTTCTTTAATAATTCATAACTGGACACAGTTAATGAAATGACCTACTGATTATTCTTTGTTGACCTGTGTATTAACTAACCATAAAAAGCTTTGGCCTAGAAGAAAACATCCCAAATTCTCTCTCTTTAATCCTCATGGAATGTAACAAGTTTTCTTTGTCCCTCAGAAAGACTTCTACCCCAAAGCAGGAGTTGCAGTTCTGATAACACCACATTTAATCAGACAGTGTGCTCTCTGATACATAGGGCACAACTCTTACAGTTTCCTACCAATACATAAACTTATCCTTAAATTTGCATGAAACTACTAATGGCCTGTGCAGTAGAACTTCTGCACTTTTTGGTTTACAGCATGTAAAATCTGTTTTATGGAAACAACCACACGGTGGTGTTGTCCATAGCGCTTAGTGATTAGGCTGTAGGCACACAGCCACTTCTTAACTGGCTACAAGGATACTATAGGCTCTCCAGCCTATCATAGCTTAAGAAACTGTGCTTAGCTATATTTACCTCTGTGAAGCTGCAGTTCAATTCATATTTGAGTTCATGTTCAAGTTAAACTAGTTAAGAACACAGTAACAAGCTTCTCTTCACTGAGGCAGGCTGCTCCAAGTGATAAAGTAAACCTTAAGGAGTCAGGGTCAGTGGAACTGAAAATTGGCTTTACACTTTCTATCCTGAGCCACCTTAACTACACCACTAAAACAAACACACAAAGCTAATATTCACATCCAGCAGAACTAAGACATCGTTTTTATGCTTCTACTTAGCCAGGAGTTTGGGTTTTTTTTGTTGTGTTTGGGTTTTTTGGTTCTTTTCTGTTTGTTTGTTTATTTAGGGTTTTTTTTTGCATATGAGGTGCACTAGAGTTTTTAGTTGTGAAATTAAGTTATATTATAAATTATAAAATTCAGACACAATAATGTATTCTGTGCTCCACACTGAACGGTGTATGTAGCACTGAAATAAAAACAATTCATGTTGATCATTTATAACATTATATGTGTGAAAACTGCTGCTCAGGATAACTATTGTGTTATCTGAACTGACATGGAATAAAAAGGCTTTAGTTCTGTAGACATCCTGCCATTCTACGCCATATTAAATAGATTTAGTTAACACCATAATGAAACTTGTGCCATACTTTCCAGCACTGAGCACTTCCATCCTAAAGGTCTCACCAGTGAGAGCAAGAGGATGGTTTGATCTGTCATTTTCTCTATGCCAAGACCAGCAAAGTCACATATCTCCACTGTGCTAAGGAAAACTATAAACAAAGGCACTCTTTGAGCTTGAGAGCAGTACTCCCATTTATCTATACAGGGAACTAGGTCAAAGAAGCCCCAAGGCCTCTCTGAACTACGTAAGCAAGCAGAGGCCCATAAAGGGATATTTCTGCAGCTGAGAATCCCTTGTGCAAAATAACAGCCAATTAACAGTCTCTTTTCAAGACACACCCGTGCACTGGATACAGGAGAAAAGGACAATGTCCAAGTTACTCCTTAGTTCAAGAAACATCCTGTTGGCTTGCTAAGTTAGTTCAAGGAGAAGAGGGGAGTCTATACAAAAGTGCACCCAGCGGATACCAGAGGAGAGCCACAGGCTACTATTTATTGCCAGCTGTAGCAAACAGCCAAGCATTTTAACTACTGGGGACTGAAAGGAGACCAAACTAATTTCAGAATTGTTACAGTCCAATTATTGTTTGGTTGCAGTATACTACCTCAAACTTTAAATACAACCTTGCAGCTAGATGTTTCTATAACCCACTGCCAGTCATGGGCCAGCCAGTCATCTCCAAGTATATTTTCTTGCAGCAGATTATAACGAATCAGGAATTTCATCAGACAGTTTATCAAAAAGATAGAAGACGAAATTGCTCTTAGATGCAACATAGAAACCACTTGCTTACATACTATTAAGAGTGCATATATACAGGAAAACAAAAAGAAAGAAACAAAATACAACCTGGCACAAAGGAGAGAAACCATGTTCAAGCTCAAACAGGTACAGGGCCTCCCTAGGCCTTCTCACATTATTATTAGTTAGCATACAGAATCTGCCTGAGTCTGAGGACAAGGCATTTTAAGAAATCAGGTACCAAGATTAATCACAAATCAAAGACCCTGGACATTATGAAAACTCTACATATAGTTTAAACTGAATTTCAGCAATATTTTGAAGGTGTAGAAAATAAAGAGCCAGCTTGTTCTCCTCAGCCTCCCTTCCCTCCAGTCTATCACATGGCCTTTTTCCTTATATTTATCTTTCTGGAACACTTGTCCCCTATTATCTCAGCCCATCCCAAAACCCTGTGGCACCATCCCTATTTGCAGCAGCCTTATTTTTTACCTAGTTTTTGGTGGGAGTTGTACCTGAATTTGGGGTTTGTTTCATGTTAATTTTCCCAAGGAAGAAATTTTCTCCTACTAATAGGAGCAGGGCCTAGCACAGAGGATTCTAGACTGGATAACCTCTGCATTGTACTAAATAGCACATTTTTATGGGTTAAATTAACGGGAAAATGGGAATAATAGCTCAGTATAGTAAAACAAGCGAGAGAAATGCCAGTTAATAATCCTAGTGTGCCCACACAGAGTATACTAGTGGGCAACTGATATAATTTTATATTAGAGGTGGGGTGTGGGAACAATGGAATAACACATTTATGCAACTTTGATAGGCAATGTCTAGAAGTAAATGTTATTTGTAGGATATCCACTTGGAAGAAAGTGAGATATTCCAAATGGAGATTATTGCAGATATGAGATAAATAAGGTTGTAACAAAATGAACATTTGTCCAAATCTATAGGAATTACATAGTCAGAAATCTCCCTAGACAGAGAAGATACCACAACTTCTCCCATTAGTAGTACCAGTTCTATATGGATAAAAGGAGTAACTTACCCCAGTAACTTTTGCTGGCTTATTTTTGGGTATAACTTGAGCAGCAGCACCATATATACTGGAATATAGCATGCCACTAGTAAGTTCCTACATACCTGTAGAGTCTAAACTATGAGAGCAAGGACTTAAATAGAACATTATGTACAGCAGCAAGCAGAAGAAATGTGTTGTAAGAAGATAGGTTAATCATAGTATGCCTATTACAATGAGTCATATAGAAACTAGATCAATAATCCCTAGGATTTGAGAAATACAAATTACAATAAGCAAAAGTAACAATGGATTACTTACCCTGGTATTGTAGCTGCTTCAAGTTCCCATCTCTTTAGCTTCATAGCTGCAGGTACATGACACAGAGCAGTTTACTAAGTATATCGCAAAGTCCAAGTTTTCAGGAAATAAAGCTGCTCAAGTAAAACAGTATTTCCCCAATTGTTCATTTATCCAACATTGAGACAGGAAAAAATCACATCTGTTAAGACTGAACTCCAAATTACAAACTACAAGAACAAAGCACAAAAGAATACTGTCTGTGCTCACATGTTCTGCAACCTGACCCAGAAGATAAATTGGTTACAGGTGAGATTCCTCAGAGACCCTCATCAAAGGAACGGGCTGAGCTTCACCAATGCCTCTTATTTTATGTATTGGGGCTAAATCAAGTATCTGCTCCTAGTTTCTTGGTTTTGTTGTTGAAAGCACAAAGTTCTACTATTCCCTTCTCCTTATCAAATCTTGGCATCAAAAAGCTTGAGGTTTAAAATGAAGCCTACAAGTTTTAAGTTACAGTACACAGAAAATAACAATAATAAAAAAAAACCCAGAAATGTGCTTCCAGGTATGTCAAGGCGCAGAAAAAAAGAAGTGTTTTGCTTTGAGTTCTGTGCTTTTAAACATTATAACCTTTATCTCTGACTACTGGCAATGTTCTCTGATTCCACGCGGTAAACACATACAGACCCCACACACACTCAGACTCCCTTGATTCAATTTACAAAGAGATGAAGAGCTTGACATATTCAGTAGATTTTGTGCCTGGTCATAATCCTTCTGAAGTAATGTCTAAACTTTCTTGCAGCTAATATCTCAATAGTCTGTCTGTTTAGATTTTCTGTACTCTTACCACAGATTAAACACTCAACATCTAGCTGCCCGTGCAGCCTCAAAGCTCCAGTTCTGTGCTTGCAAAACTGATGCCAGGGAGTGGTAATCATACTTCAATGACTTTATTGACTGCAAATGATTAAGCTAAGCATGACTGACAAAGCTTCACTGACCACTTCTATTTATAACACAGCACCATTCCATACCCATTCAGACTTAGCTACACGTGGTTCTTGCGTGAAGCAGGGCTTTACTGCCTCATAAGTCTTGGGGGCTTTTACAATAAGTGGGAGTTATTCTTTCATAACTGGTCATAATGCCATTTGGAAACTTCTCAAATCTTCTGGGATTTTGGGAGACTGCAACAGAACTGTGTTGTTTGTAAGCAGTGTATTTTTCATTTTCTTGGTTTAGATTAACATATACTGCCATCATGTGGGCAGAAGTAAGAAGAAAGAAGAAAAAATGACAGCCTCTCACCTTGAAAGCCTTACCTTCATTTTAAAACCTTCTTATTACCAATGAAGACACTAAATCAAATTATCGAAATGCTTAGGGACATGGATTAGGGGTGGACTTGGCAATGCTAGGTTGGACTCCATGAACCTATCATTCGAAGAAAAACCTGGTTTTCTGTTTGCTTTTGTTGTCCTTTAAAAAAAAAAAAAAATAATTAAGCCACTGCTTGAGGACTTAGTAGAAATACCATAAAGCTATGCTGCAGCAGCACAGTAGCCGACTAGCACAAGTGGAACTATACCAGCTTCAGCACAGTATTTTAGCTGCTTTTTTCTCCTACTCATTGACTGCACACCTAGACATGACTCACATGGGGCTGGAGATTAGAGTGACTAGATAAAAAGAGTGCAAGCAAAAGATAAGCCCCAGTGCAGCAGTGCAAATGCTCAGTTTGCATGGCAGTGCCCAATATTACTGTCTTTTAATCCATGCACAAGACTCAATAAACCCATCAGCTCCTCCTAGACATCACTGCTTCTTGCCTGTGGGTTCACCCTTTTCCCTGAGCACTGCAAGAGTGTATTTATCTCTTTCAGCAATAGGAACTTAAACCTGAAGTACTGTTGCAAGAGATCCAGAGCATAAGGGATGGAAAGAAAAACAATGATTCAAAAGGATGTATCTCAAAGAGATTCAGAGCAACCCTGTGGAGAAGGACTTGGGGGTGCTGGTCAGTGAGAAAATGAACATGAGCCAGCAGTGTGCGCTTGCAGCCCAGAAAGCCAACCGTATCCTGGGCTGCATCAAAAGGAGTGTGACCAGTAGCTTGAAGGAGGTGATCCTGCCCCTTTATTCTGCTCTTGTGAGACCTCACTTGGAGTATTGTGTGCAGTTCTGGTGTCCTCAACATAAAAAGGACATGGACCTGTTGGAACAAGGCCAGAGGAGGGCCACAAGAATGATGAGGGGACTGGAGCACCTCCCGTATGAAGACAGGCTGAGAAAGTTGGGGCTGTTCAGCCTGGAGAAGAGAAGGCTGCGTGGAGACCTCCCAGAAGCCTTCCAGTATCTGAAGGGGGCCTATAGGGATGCTGGGGAGGGACTCTTCATTAGGGACTGTAGTGATAGGACAAGGGGTAATGGGTTCAAACTTAAACAGGGGAAGTTTAGATTGGATATAAGGAGGAAATTCTTTCCTGTTAGGGTGGTGAGGCACTGGAATAGGTTGCCCAGGGAGGTTGTGAATGCTCCATCTCTGGCAGTGTTCAAGGCCAGGTTGGACGAAGCCTTGGGTAAGATGGTTTAGAGTGAGGTGTCCCTGCCCATGGCAGGGGGGTTGGAGCTTGATGATCTTAAGGTCCTTTCCAACCCTAACTATTCTATGATTCTATGATTCTATTCTATATGTTGTAGTTTACAAACATACCTTGAAAGAAAAGCAATAGAGAATTTAGTTATATAAAAAATGTCTTACCATTTTGAGGAGCCTTGTCATAGGACGTAACCCCCAACCCCTTCAGTTTTCAAACTGCATGTATCTGTATGGACTAATGCTATTTAAAAATATTTTATAAGACCTGTATGCTTTTAAAAGATAATATAAGCATCTGATATTGCCAAGAACCCCAGCTCCCACACTGAAATAAGAATACACTTAAATTCTAGAAATCACCCTGGAAATAGCAGCAGTTTTAAATTTAACTACACAGTAGAAAAATAGGGGTAGGGTATTGAAATCTATATTTTAAATGTAGCTTATCGAAAACTAGTACTTAAGTCTTCACTAAAGTACTAAAATGCCCAAGTTAAAGCTGAATTTACCAGCTTCATGGTCTCTTTCTGTACAACCATTATAAGCTACTTTTTGAGGTCCATCACATGGAACCAATTAGTGGCATCTGCCTTCACAATGAGAAGCACTGTGTTCCAGAAGAGTCCCACTGAGTAATTTGCTACTCATAGAGAGCTCAGTACATCAGGATCAAACAATTACATAGTAAAATATAAATAATATGTTGATTCCCCTTGTGTAACAGCTTATCAAGGAGTAATATGAAATCTATTAAATATGATTCTTATTCAAGAATCTTACCTTTTGCAGAAAATAACCTTTAACACAAGAAAACTACATCCAAACTGCATAGGATCTGAGATTGTATGCTATAATTACTGTATAAACAAACCTACATTGTTTAACATAAGTAACTTAGACAAAAACATGCATATACTGTCACACAGGTGTTACTTGAGAAATCAACATTAGCCACCAAGACAGAATATTTCTCTCCACATTTACCAACGATGTAACCATTCGTCGTGGTTTTACCATCAGGTTTTTGGTTTACAATAACTATTGATAACTATTTTGTTAGGAAAGATGGATTCTAAAACCTGGCCAGCCTAACAGTTTCATTATTAAGCTTTTTTAATTGTTTAGGATATAGAAACAATTTTTCATTCATTCATTTTCTGAGTGCCATTTTCCGAGTGCCATTTTCCTCTTTTATTAAAAGCAGATCTTTTCCTGCAGCTGCCTTTTAATGCAGTTATCTAGTTGCTTCAGAACTTGTCATGTCATAGATTGCCATTTTACAAGGTACAGCTAGAGGTGAGAAATAACTGAATTTATACTAGATGTAATTGTTAATATGACAATAATTCCTTCAATTTAATAGCATTAATCTAGATTAAGATCAGGTTAACTTTCCCTTTCATTAAAAGTACCAGAATTGTTCTCTTGTTTGCCTTTAGACACAGGCATAACAAACTACACTAATGGAAAAGAAAATTTAAGCAGATGAGCATTAAAACAAAAAATAAGAAAGTTACAAAAGCATAGGAGAATAATGAAAAATGGAAGAGCTATAAACTCTAAAGCAAGAGTTCCATCAAATACACTGAGAAAATAGCTATCTTCAATACATCATGATGTTTCATGGAATTTCTGTCATTAAGACTGAAGTGCAAGATTGACAGAAAATTCAGGACTTCTAACGCATGGATCAAGCCTATACATAATACAGTAAAAAGAAATGGGAAAAAAAGCGAGCAAGCAGCATTTATTTCTGCTATTCACTTCAGGGTCACTCAGTCTTAACACATTTCATCAACATCCTTGTACTCTCCAACAGAAAATATCTGGATGAATAGTAGATTGAACAGTGGTGCTGGAGCAAGTCCAACATATGTTGCTTGTTTGCCAGTAACAAGTTCACCAGCTTCAGTTGTAGCTCCTCATCTCTCACAACACTTCCATTGCAAGCACAAATAATTCTCATAAAACAGTGCATGAAGTTCAAGGAAAACAAATACTAAGCCAAATGTATCACCTCCCTTTCTACAATTTCTATAATACAGGAAGTTAAGAAACTCCTCTGGTTTGGACTGGAAGGAGCCCTATAGATACACACATACTGCATTTTCACATCAACAAATATGTTTTTATCCAGCTTAAGAAGGACTTACGTAAAGAAAGGACAGAAAGGGTGTTTTTTAAATCTTTAAAATTGCTAACTGGATTTCTAGGCTTACAGCTAAAAGACTAAGGAAATTATTTTTCTGTTTCAGTGAGATTCATTCTTTCCAGTTACTTCCAAGTAGAATATATGGATACCTTGTTAATTATCTAAGGATGCTATCACAAAACCTGATAGAATATCTGACCCCTGATAGACAATTTTGTTACATTTTGTCACTATGACTTGAACCTACACTGAAATACAGACCCTCCAGTGAGCTGGAGACAAAATTGCACTGCAACCTCAAAACAAAAGAACAGCTTAACCAACAGGCAGAGAAGTACCCAGTGCTTCAGGATTCTTAAGCAGACTGCTACCTAGATAAAACATATAACAAAGAAAACATAACTCTGTAGTCCTTTTTTATGTATTTCATTCTAAGATAGCAGTCTGTGAGGGTCTAAACAGTTTTGGGGTCAGTACCTTCTTACCTTGCTTTAACTTGTAATAGTCATTAAAAGCATTCTTTTTTTCCCCACCTCAGTCAGACCACAACATGCAGCAATGGTGAGACAAATATATCATACTGGCCAATCAAATCAAACAGACCATTTCCTCTTCTTTCTAAAAAGAATTAGATAAATTTCTGTTCTTTTTTTCCTTACCTTCCCAGATGTGAGCCT